AGTCATAACTCCTGAACAATTACACAAAAGAGAATGACAATTTGATGGCAGTGGCAGAGCCCATCTTCTCACTGGTTTGTCAGAGACAGTGTGGGCTCGCATTACTTCTCCGCACAATTAAATATTACCATCTTACCCCGATTCCCCAGATGTGCTGTATGTTACCTAGAAAAATCTGTCATCTTTAACCATAGATGACTCCGTCTTGTTGTTTTTCTCTCTGAAACTTTAAAGTGYGCATGAAAAACAACTTTTTTACCAAATTTGAGAGTCTATTTTTTTTCCATTGCCCCTAAAACTCAGAGGGAGCGTTTGGATGACATGGCTCCTGTGGTGAAGCCTGGAGAGATTTAAAATTAAAAGCTTCAATGAGACCCACATCCAGTCCTCACTCAGTGCCAATAATGTGGCCTGATCATCATACTTGAAGCAACAATGAGGTTATGTGGAAGAATTGTGAACAATTAATTTCATACATGCTGTAGACAGCTCTCAGAACAGTCTGAGTTTGGAGAAACAGAGTTTAATTCTGATCCGACTCATAACAGCTAGTGTCAACAAGTTGTCAACATGTTTTCTTAAACCAACTGCCATCTTGAAAGTTATCCTTGCAGTTATTGTGAATGCTATTTTATAACCTTTTACAATGCCACCAACTTTGCATTATATACATAGAGTCATGTGCACACTAAAAACTGCTGGGTTATTTTTAAAACTTGATTAAAGTTGTTGGATCAAAGGTTCAKTTAATTAGATAAAATATTTGGTCAAATATTTTAGCCTCGTGCTTGGGTCAGATAAACTGCGGTCATTGTTGCCATGTTGACCCAGTTGTATCTAACCAGACTGCAGCCTGAGCAAAACCAATATGGGTAAGTTGGTAAAAAAAAACAACATGAACATTAAACTTTGTTGGCTTAGTTAATAACCAAAGTTTGCACTAAAATGAATTTGCTTTCTAAAAGTAATATTAGTGGGTTGGGATGACACGGTGGCTCAGTTGGTAGAGCTGTTGCCTTTCAGCAAGAAGGTTTGCATGGTCAAATCCCAGCCGGGGAGAGTTTGCTTGTTCTCTCTGTGCAGGTTTCCTCCAGGTACTCCAGTTTCCTCCCACAGACCAAAAACACGGCCGTTAGTCTAAATGCTAACATTAAGTTGTGAGTAAGAGAGTGAATGGTAGTTTGTCTCGGTGTGGTCTTCTGAAGGAGTTGTGACCTGTCCAGGGTGTACCCCACCTCAAGAACTGTGACTGCTGGGTATGGGCACAAGTGCCTCCTGGGACTCTGAAAGGAAGAAGAGGGTTAAGCTGATGGATGTTAGTGAGTTACCAGGCTAATGCTAACATCTGTTAGCACCAACCAGGTGGCATTATCCCAGTTTTATTTATCTAATCCAATTTTGTTAGTAAAAGATTTAACTCAATGTGCTGGGTCAAACCCTGTTGAGCTAAAGTGATAGAGGTTTAGCTCAGTCCAAATTACATTTTTTGAGAGTGTTCAAACTTACCTGTCTAATCAGGATTTGATTATTTTTCTCCAAACTGAGACTCATCGCAGGGCTATTTACAATAGATATGCTATCAGTTGTTCACAAACCTTTACTCAGATCCCCATGCCACAATTCTTTGAAATTTTGCAAAGGACAAAATTATAACTTTTTTTTTTTTGGTGGTGGTGGCGGAGATTGGGGATGAAGTTTCAAAATATTTTAATGAACAAATGTCAAAAAGTGTTTTTTTTTAAAGAACAAAGCTTTAGTACAGCACCAAACTCAGCTCAGGTTACATTCCCAGGGGCTCAGACTGTGCCGGTGTCATCTTTTGTTAAATTCTCAGGCTGGGGTCAGCATGGCAGGCCTCAAGAGAGACAAAAACAGGTTTTCAAGAACTACTCTAAAACATACCAAATTAACAAAAAGAAACTTATTAATGTAAAAGGTAGAACATGATATTAACTTGCTCAGCACCTCACCATGATGAACACAGCAAGATAAGAGTCCACTTTCCCATTTTCAGCATGTCACCTGCTCTGGGAAATGTTTGTGAAGACATCGGGTCAAATGTGAAACGACCAACTTACTGAAGAAGCAAATCAAGCCATGTGACCAACATTTTCAAATGTGTATTGCAACACACAATATGGCAACAGATGATTAAGACTAATTCATGAGAAAACAGCAACACTAATGCATCACCCTTTTCTTGTTACCTGCTCATTTGCTTTGCTTTACCCTCACTGCTGTTGCTCAGTCTCCACAAACAAAATCCACCCAAAAAGCAGCCTTATTAGGGCTTTATAAAACAAGCACTGGAAAGCAAAAAGGACATTCATTGACTTTAATGGGATGAACTGATCAACCATATCTAATAGAAATCATTGCCCCTGGCAAAAGCTGCTGTGGAATCAAATTAGACTTGGAACACAAAGCTTTTACGGCTTCTTCGAAAACTCTAATTCAATCTGTTTAGTATAGAGAAGAGACGGATAAGTCCGAATTAAAGAAAATAAAAAAAAGTTTGTATGTTCTATTCAAATACAACAGGTAGGTATCTGAGGTGATGTTAGATTGATTAAAAAAGTCAGAATACATCAAAACACAAATTAATAAACTCATGTATTCATGTAAAATACCACAAACCAATAATAATAAAAAACATAAACTGGTTCAAATTCAGAGTTCAACAAAGAAAATGTCTGATTCAAAGCAAACAGTGTGCGTGCCATGACGTGCCTTTGGATGAGGCGCTGCGCACTGGGAGGCAGAGACTTTCTCGAAAGTCCAAATCAAACTGCAAAGAAAGTGGTCGGGTATAAAATATCACGTGGAGAAGAGAGAGAGAGGAAACTGATTTATAAGCTCGCATTTTTTAATCCCCTCTGTTCGAGAAGGCGAGTCTCAAAGTTACCTCAGAATGGGCAGTCTTCCCTCAGACGCATCCGGACCACAGCAGCATCGGGTCATGGAGAGGTGTCCCTAAACTGACCGAGTAGGGGCATTTCGACTTTTAACAGCAGATTTTTTAAAAGTATTTATATAGTATCTGAGTCCAATTCAAATTGCCTTGTCAGACTTTTCATAATTAGGACATATGAATAGGTCTTTGATTGCTCAATCTGCAATGTGCTCGGCACGTGGTGACGTATCCCTCGCTGCCACTTACTGCTGCGCGTCAGAAATGATATTTTATATTCATATTGTGTCCAAAACACACCTTAAGTCTGTTTGTTAAATGAAGGATAAATGTCATTTGGTCTTATCTCACAGGTCTAACTCGTGTTTCCCAAAGCGCGTAACTGCGCTGCAACTTTACGCACGGGCACATAACCTCTCTTTTGCTCCTTTCTCCATCTTCTCTCCAGCCGATGTGCGCGGAGGCATCACCTAAAGAACACACGCGCTTCTTAGGTTTTGGTCAGCTGGACAGCGACCCCCCACCCAGCGCAGCACCTCAGACCGGCTCTTCCGCCAGAACCCGCAGGGGTCCGTGAGAGCATCGCGCCGGCGTGGACTTCGCACGCACACCGCCGAGAAGATGAACATCCAGGTCCAGCCAGAGCACAAGCTCTCCTCGGTTGCCCCGCTCAAACAGTGCAACGTTGAGAAAAAAGAGGTAGAATTGATATTGGTGAAGGACCAGAACGGGGTCCAGTACACCAGCACCTCCATCATCCCCGCGCCGGCTCTGCGCGCCGGTTTGCCCGGAACCGCCTCCGAGGACGAGCGAGAAACTTGGGGCAAAAAAATAGACTTTCTCTTGTCGGTTATTGGCTTTGCGGTGGACCTGGCCAATGTTTGGAGATTTCCATACCTCTGTTACAAAAACGGTGGCGGTAAGCAGTGTTTTTATTTATTTATTTTGTCGATTAATGTGCGTAAAATGAATCATAAAAGTCAAAATTGGCGTCCAGTTTGATTGCTTGAAACATAATAATAATAATAATAATAATAATAATAATAATAATAATAATAATAATAATAATAATAATAATCAGATTCACCTTCTGTAAATGGCAGTTAATATTTTTGACAAAACTATAAATATATTGAAGTATTCAGGCTTTTCATACTTAACAGGTTTCAAATTCGTCTTGTTTAAAATTTCATCCAAAGGCAAAAATGCATCTACTCCTAAGTTACTAAACAGAAGATTTAGAGAGAGCAGATAATTATTGTTGTAGCTAATTTTAGCTCCTTTACTGTAACTTCCTTTAATAGTCCCACGTGTATAAATAGGGAAGTGCATTTAGCTTTGATGGTGAAGAGAAGGAAAAAAACATTTTATCTATGCATTTTTTTCACACTATGGCACAACCTAAACTACATCTTATAAATTGTCACTTATTAGTCATGAAAACGAACCGTAATCATGAAGAAAACTGAAGTAACTGAACAGAAATTATAGTTTTAAAATAGAATATCTGACAAGAAAATCACTTCTTCAACTGTGAAAAAGTGTTCTTTAATATGTTTTTATGGATCTTCGTGTGTGATAAAAGACTCTCCAAATGGGAAGTTAAAGTGTTTAAAGTGATTTCTATGCTTTTTAATCTTTGAAAAGAATCTGTTTGTTTGGAAAGATGTGCTCACTAACTGATCTGATCTTTTCTGCAGAGGGTTTCTGATAACTCATGGTTTCATTCTTGAAAACCTGATCTAAAAAGCTGTTGAGCCCAGTGTGTTGAACCAACAAAAGATTGTTTTAGTGTTTTTTGGTGACAACAGAGTGCTCACTAGAAGCTGTGTCTGGTCCTCTGTTTGCTTTTGTATCTATTCAAATGGAAAAAATCAACATGTTTTTGCGCGTCCTCTTGGGTGTCAACCTTACCACTGTCCTGTGAAACACATTGGCCCTCAGCGAAATTCATTCATTACTGTGAATAATGTGTCACTTGTGATGGACAGCGTCAGGACCAATTTAATTATATGAGGCTGTTTCCTTGTTGGTGGATGTGCTTCTGAAGCACAGCATGAAAACAGCTTTGAGCCTCCCCACCAGCATGCTATAGTTTATTTTTCCAAGAATGTCATGCCCCCCCCCCCTTGCCACTCCTGTTTCCCTTTTTCTTTTTTATTTATTTATTTATTGCTCGCACTAACAGTTGTATCAATACGATGCACATTTAAAAGGCTACAAATGAAATAATAATGAAAAAAGTACAAAAGTATTTTAGTGGGATTTCTGTCTTTCCAGGTGCCTTCTTGATCCCCTATGTTCTCTTCTTGGTAATTGCGGGGATGCCATTGTTTTACATGGAACTCGCCTTGGGCCAGTATAACAGGGAAGGAGCTGCAACAGTTTGGAAAATATGTCCTGTCTTTAAAGGTGATTTGTAACACAAGCACACACACACACACACACACACACACACACACACACACACACACACACAC